TGTGGAGGAGCAGACGTGTGAAAGGAACATTGTGATTGCGTGTCTGCCGTTCTCCGCACACAATACATTCCTCTCACACAAAGGAGACGCCTGACAATCATGTCATTATCACCGAACGTTTCAAGGTGTTTGAAAGCTTCCGCGGCAGCCGTGTCAAGAGGCAGCGAGCGGCCTGGAACGGGACTCTTTCTATTGCCGGGGATAATAGACACTTGTCATGCGATGCCCCAGGCGCTAGGCCACGGCCCGCAATGCTTCACGTCGCCACGTCAAACGCTGAGCCGCGAGATCAAGTGCTTGACGAGCGTCACTTGAAAACAAAACGCGGACGGTGAAGTCACAGGAAACGCTTCACGGCGTCTAAACATATTTTGTGTTCAGAAGGTCGCAGTCCCTCTTCCAGGCCGAGCGCCGAGTCTTCGCATTGCGCAATCTCCACTCGTAGAATGCGCGTCTCCGGAGGCAGGAAAGTGACGGCACTCATTGTCCATTGTTCTTTCGTGGTGTGCCGCATTGTGCCGGCGTCTAGCCCAATGGCAGTTCTCTCCTCTCGCTGCTCATCACGGCCATGTTTTTTAACAGTCCCGACCTTGAGACGCGGAGAGGGAGGGGGGGAGGAGTCATTGTCTGCGAGCGCCGCCGAGCGCGCCTCCATCTGCGTGCAAGAAGCTTGAATAGATTATTATCATCCTGAAGAGAAGCTGCACCGGAACATTGCGACATCAAAGTATAGATTGCCGGGCGGCCGGGACGCCGAGGTTTCCCACCTAGTCATGGTGACGGTTTCTGGGGTTTAGGATTGAGGTGGAGGAAACATTTCTCATCTCAATGAATCTCAATGAATCCGGTTCTGGGTCCCGGAGGGTTTGTGGGGGATACACCTCCATTACCAGGACCTCGCCTACCCTGGGAGCAAACACCAGCCGGCCCAACAGTGACGGCAAACACCAGCCGGCCCAACAGTGACCGCGCCCCATCAGATCCCACAACCAACCTTCAGCCATTGTATTGTGCCGCAGCTACCCGAGTACAATGGCCGTCAATGGAGATTCCTCTGTCAGTGTGCATGGAAATCATTCAGCCCGCAGGACTGACATACTCAGGGCCTCCTGCCTCCTCTCTCGC